AATTAATGACTCTAATAAATATATCCATAAATCTAAAAGAAACAATCTAAGAATTGAAGGAAGTTTTAACTGAAGCCGAGACAATGGAAAAACTTGAGAGTTAAATGAAAAGACGAAATAAAAAAAGGGTGCAAAACGTAACATAGACTACACAGACGATACAAGTATAACGAGTAAACAACAAATAGTACTTTAATGTAATAAGTGCAAAGCACATTTCCATAACTCAATGATTCAATGTGAAAACAATTCGTGTCCGGCTTTTGTCCGAAACTGTAAAAATAAATTTTTAAAAACTTTGTAAAAGCCGGATATCTGGCCTAGTACTTCAAAACGATATCAACAAGGCGCTGAGTTTTTCTGCACTAGAAAATGTAGACTTGGCGGTTCTAATATTGAGTTATAAATAGGTATATTTTCTATAATAAATATAATATAAAACTTCTTTATTATATATATATTTTTATAAAAAAAAAATTCTTATCTATTGAAAAAAAAATGTTTTTTATCAAAAAGCAAATTAAACTTTCTGAGTGTTGACCGAAATTAGGCTAATTTACCATAAACAATTTTTAAACAGTAAACATTTTTTTAAGTAAACACAAAACGAGGTTGCATTGTTATATTCATTGTTATATTCTATACCATTAAAATATTTGTTTGGTTTTGATACATTATTTAGAAAAAAAATTATGGAAACAAATTTTTTTTTCGATTAGCTTTAGAAAAATTTATTTCATTGATTTAAGAAAACGTATTTTAAAACACTTTATTTTGAAATTTATTAACCTCCTACAATTAATTCGTAAAAACTAGAAAAAAATGCTTTGTAGCATTCAATTTATAAACAAAATGGCGAAAGTTTAAAGTCGAAATCCCTTCGCTTTATTTTTAAATGAAGTTATCAGCAGTTTCCAAGTGGCCCGTAAAAATTTTTTAACATTCTAAAGTCTATGTTAAAAATTAGAATATCCACACAAAATGTTTACTTTTCCTTTTTTTTTTTTTTTACCTGTGGCGTCATGACTATAAAGTTTATTATCTAGTTTGTTATCTATTGCCATCAGACGAGCTAAGGTTTTTGCTTCGACAGGTGGCTTTTAAAGAATGTTATTAATTATATTAATTAATTACTAAATGATTACTTAACAGGCGTCAGAAACGTTAAATTTATTTCTAAAAAAAACACGAAGGTATTTAAACAGTGAAAACTCCGACGCCTCAATTTTTATCAAGTCTAATAAAATAATTTTAAATCAGTGAAATGGAAATTCAATTTAGTTTTTTCTTTTGTTTAAAATCCGAATTATTTATTAGATCTTTCCACGAACGAATCCAACAATTATTTAAACGCTCATTCGACAAACACCAAATTTATGTTAAGCAAATAATATTGAAATTGTTTTTAGTTTCTTTTAAAAAATGTCTTCTGAAAAAGAAATCATCTGTTAGTTAGTAATTAAGTATAAAGAACCTGATAAACCATTCCGTTTATCAAGTTGTTTATACTTAATTACTAACTTTTTATATTTTATGACCTTGTCACGCAAATATCTATCAGGAGCTCAAAAGAGGAAATCAGCGATTTAATTTTTTAAGTTTTTTCAGTTAAAAAATTTTATTTTAAATTTAATGTTTGCAATAGTTACATAAAATATACAAACTAATTAATATCAATACACTAAACTGTATCAGACAATAAACACAAACATTTATATCGTGAGATGAAAAAAAGTTTAAATCATATTACGATTGAAAAATTACAGTAACTGAAATTAGAGGGGAATAAAAACTCTCATCTTACTCGCTGTTCCGTCTTGTCCCTTATAACTCTAATATAAAAAAGTTTATTGTGTAAAAGCAACTTACCATATCAAATATTATTCTATATATACCAAAATTTTTTATAAAAGTCTCATCTTTGACAATCTATAACTTTGGTTTTAATTAAAATAAAATAAATGAAAATTTATTTTTGCTTGATAACAGCTTCTTATGTTTGTGTTTTAGATAAAAATTTTTAAAGTTTATTTTTATATAATACAGAACTTAAGATTTTTATAAAGTTTCTTTTTGGACATCTACCTAGCCGGCATTTGGTCCTAGAAAGACCTCATTTGAACGTTCAAAAGACGTTTTTTTATTTTGAAGCAAACTGATTTTGATCAATCGGTTTGCTTCAAATTGTTTTAAATAAAATTTAAAAATCTTAATTTGGACGTGATTATAGATCTAGAACTTTAAAAAAATGTTAAACTTTTAAATTCCATTAAAAAAATGTTTTTTCACACAAAATTATGATCTCAAAAAATGTTCTTCACTTAGTAAAAGTAAAGAAAAAATTATACGCTAGTAGTAGTAACTCTTTTTCTTCTATTTCCTTGAGGATTATTTTATTGCCTAAATGTTTTGGCAACAGTTAAAATAATTCCAGTACCGAGCAAAGTCCTGACTTAAAAATAGCATTCAAGAACTTGAGATTTCACAGGTCTGGAAATTAAAACTTATAGACCACAGGTCTTCTAACTATATCGATCAGTTTCGTAGTACAGTCATGAGTTCTAATTGTTTTACAAACTATTGAGTGTTTTAACGTATAATAAATTGTATGGTTAACATTTCTTAACAAGTAAACGTAACAAGTAAACGCGCAATTTTCAAGACGTAGCTATTTAAAATCTTATTGTGTGTTTTGATTTCCATACGCAATTTTTGCTCTAGGCTATTTAACGTTTGTGTATTTTACGCATTGTTCCATAAATTACACATTAACAATGTTTTTGAATTCCATAAACAATAAAGTTAAGACTCCATCGGTGACGGATCCTGGAATTTTCAGTGGAGGGGGGATGTTGAAATAGTTTTGTTTTTTGCATCACATTTGCGTTTCCTAAAATTAAAAAAAAAAGTCATCCATTTCTAAGATTTTTTAGAACTTTTAGTTTCTGGTGGGGGGATCCCCCATTACCTCCCTCCCCCCCCCCTCCTATTCCCTGGATCCGTTAATGGACTCCATAATATACCGCAAATATATTATATTAAATTTTATAACATAAAATTCTGCAAGTTCCATTTTAAATAAGTTTTTTTGATGTCGTTAATTTAAATATTTTCTTTAATAAATACATTTTTTTTTACATATAAGGAGCACTTGTAAACAAAAGTAATTTTTAGAACGTCGATTTCATGAGTTTACTTACGTAAGTCATGAGTTTACTTACGTAAGTCATCAAATCGATGAGTTTACTTACGTAAGTCATCAAATCGACGTTCTAAAAATTAATTTTGTTCGTCCTAAAAATTACATTTTTTCGTAGAACTACGAACGTCACAATAACAGCAAAACTCCTTAGCGGAAAAAATGGTAAGAGGTAAAACTGTATATAAAATAAATTATTTTGTTATTTCTTTTTTCTTTTTTTTTTAAATTAAATTAATCAAACCTTACGAATTTTAAAAAAGAGTAGGTTATAAACTCCTTACGAGGATGTGTGAATATATGGCCAACTGCTCAGACCAGATCAGTTATATTCTTCGACGAATCACGTTGATTTATCGTAGCAACCTGTTCCAAATTTGCGGACGTGAATTTTTAAAATTTTCCCAAAACTTCGTGACAAAAAAGAACTTTTCTAAAGTTAAAATAGATTTTATATGTTCAGCGGTTACAAAATAAGATGCAGCTGCTACCAGAACTTTTTAATTGTTATTTATTGCTTCGCAAACCTGAATGCTTTAACAAGATAGTTCTTAAATATACAAGACTTTCGATTAAAAACATTTCGCTACATTCTTTTTGTCCAAATTATTAATTTGGACAAAGAGAATGTAGCGAAAATTTTATGAAGTTTTTAATTATTAATTTGAAATTAATAATTAAAAACTTCATAAAATTTTTCATTTTGAGTTTCGTACTTTATAAGCATACTGCATCATAGTCAAACGCAACATAATTAAAATAATTCAAAATATTTCGAGCTTCGCCCGTAACAAAACATTCTTTATGGCAAATTTACAACGCAGTCATTTGTAGAGTAAAGAAAAAGTCAGTAAAACTAAATACGAGAAATTTAACTTTTTACATTTTATTTAAATATTGAAGTATAAAAATAAATTTATAAATGTTATTGTTTAAATAACTCAAGTTTTTGTAGATTTGCAACTTTCATAGTTGCCTCGTATCTCATTGTATTTTGATATTTATTTTGTATTTTAATATTTATTTTGTATTTTATTCCATGGAATAATTATTTTCTAAAATATTTTGTCAAAGTATTTTTGAGAACATTCAAAAAAACCACATTGTGTAACGGGGTTTGGTGACAAGACAATGCGTCTTCTAGCTCCTGCTCTCGTATTATTATTATTTTTTTATTACAACTTTAACAAATGAAAATAAATTGTTTAAAAATTTATAATATGAAATTGTAAATATATACTTAAAAGTTTATATTCTTGTACATTTACGTATTTAATTATATACACTCTTAATTTTACACTTTTTTCAAATTTATTATTTATATTTATTATTTGCTTTGTTAAAATTTATTATATTTATATCTTTTATATTACAAAATTTATTTTTATTATACACTGTTAAAATTATATTTTTGTTCCCTTATCAAAAACTAAACATATGAAATATATCTAAATAATAGCTAAATTTTCCCCTAGAGTTAGCAGCGATGGTTAAGGAATTTTTGGTGTCGGGAAATGTTGAAATATTTTTGTGTTTTGTATCACATTTACGACTCCTAAAAAAAAAAAGTCCTCCATTTCTAAGATATTTTAGGACTTTTAGATTATTTGCAAACTAGAAAAGCGCAAGCGCAATCTGCAAGATAAAATAACTACATTAATGACTTTTTTCAAATTCATTGATGTGTAACACAACAACAAATTACAACGTCAAATTTTTTAACAATACTTTTTAATTACAAACTGTACAATTATTAAAATTAAATTTTTCTTAATTTAAAAAATTAAAATTAAACCTTGAAAATTATAACACGTAACTAGCAAATAATTTTAAAATTTTAAATTAGATATAATATGTTGTTCCAAATCTAGTAACTCCATAAGGCATAGGTTGCCCATAAAAAGGCCTGACTTGGGGAAAATGTCTGGTGCTTGCCAATTCAGGTCTCCATCTTGTTATAACGAGTACTGATTCTCCATGATCATCTGGAACCTAAATAAAAACTTATATAAATGACATTGCATTTAAGGAAATAAAAAGCTATGTAGTAAATATATACAAAATATATTTACAAAAATTACAAGGCAGCAATAACAAAATTCATGCGAATTTACTTGTTTTCGAATAGCAGGTCCAATATTTAATTTTCTATTTGCATAATATAACGGGAGAGCATTCATAATTGCATGCACGTGTTCTTCACGACTGAAAGTGACAAAGCCGTAGCCTGTTAAACAAGATTAAAAATGTAAAAAGTTTCAAGAAAAATAATTGTTTGTAAAAATTTAAAATATAAGTTTAACATTAGCGATTTTCTAAATTGTTTTGAAATCTTTGTGGCAGGAAAATCTTCGATAGCTATAAAACTTTGATTTTAAACGTTTCACGAAAAAAAATTTGAAAAGAAAAACGATTAGTTGCTTTTAGAACGTCAATTTTAAAAGCAATTAAACGTTTCAGGTTACGTAATTATTTTACTCGTTTATTTTAAATAATTTTCATTATAAATATTTAATATAGTTGTTAAGAAAAAAAATACCTTTTGAGACTCCTCCAGAGATTACTACCTTAGAGTCAAGGACTTCCCCAAAACGTTCAAAATATTTTGCGACGTTAAATGCTCTCGTCTAAAACAAAATAAAGTAAAAAATATTACGTAATATTAAATAAAAATTATTAGTTTAAAAATGATAACTGAGAATAAAATAAAAAATTACATTTTTTGGTAAACCACCTACGAAAATTCTGTTTTTAAACATATAACCATTAATGTAAATATTTTCATCCTACATGGTAATGAAATAATTTATAATTGAAAACTACTAGTCTAATATTGTTTTATAACAAGGAAGTGTCCAGGAGAAAAATTTACCATTTTTGAAGATTGCTCCGATCGCCGTTTCGTTCTTTTCTCGAATCAAATTAAATTAAATTAGCGCCTAACTTTTATAAACTTGATCTTCTTCGTAGGGTTCTTAACCATTCGAGTTTCTTGATCATTTAAAAATAGTTTAAAAGAAGTTTAACTCTCCGACATAGATATTATATTTTTAATTCAAATTTATCATTAAAAGTCACACAGAAAACCTCTTTTTTTCTTTTTTGCAACAATTGTCAAAAACCAACGTTATCGCTTAAACGTTGTTCGACACAAGTAAATGACCACTTGTTTTTGTTTTTTGTAGAATTTAGGGAGGTAAACATAGTTTTAGTATGGAGTTATGATATTATATGATGAATCTTTAATTAAATTTTAAGAAATCTGAAAGCATTCTTAAGTGAAAAAAACAAAAAGAAATTTCACTACGTAATGTACTAAATATTAACATAGAAACCTCTAATGTAAGGAATGATTTGAATAGATTACATTAATTAAAAAATAATAAATAAAAATAAATTCTTTACATTTCTTTTTACTTATAAAGTTGAGATATGACAGTTTGTTAATTTTTATTATTAAATTAAAGTTAATTTATTGCGCGCGAATTAAAAAAAAGTATTGAAATTTTTATCTGTTATTATCGTCAAAAAGTGTTTCAGTGGTTTTTTATAATGTAAATTTAAAATGATTTATTGGTTTTTTATAGTTTTTAACTTAATTAACTTTATATTTATAATAACTTAAACAAATATGTTTTTACCAAATTGAATAGTTATATACCTGGTATTGCAGGTAACTTACAAAGAATTTTAACAAAAGCACAATAAAACTGGCGTTGTTGCTAAATAGAATTTATCAATCAAATTTTTAGTTTACAAAGAATTCGGAAAGAATAGTTTCAGCGTAAAAGGATTTAAAAAGACCAAGTTCTTTTACAAAAAAATTCTTTGTAAAAGAATCAGGTCTTTCAAAATATTTACAAAAAATTTGGAAGGGCCAAATTCTTTGTAAACCAAATTAACAATTTAAACATTGAAACAATTTTAATTACTTAAACACCATAATTTAAGCTAAGGGGCTGTCCATTAATAACGTCAACAATTTTTTTGAAAATTTCACCTCCCCCTCCCCCTTTTCAACAATTTGTCAAATTTCCAGAGACCCCCCATCCTTATAAAATTATGTCAATTTTTGATAACCCCCCTCCCCTATACATAGAAGCTACGATACACACTCAGCCAAATTTTCCGTTATTTAATAAATGAAACTCAAAAAAAAAAATTGTTGACATCAACTTTAATTGACTTCCCCTCCCCCTCCCCCTTATCAACAATTTTCTAAAAAGTTCAGCCACCCCCACCCCACCCCCCTATTTTGTTGACGTATGTAATGGACAACCCCTAATTACAACTTTTTTTTTTTTTTCCTTATTTAGCAAAAATATTTTGCTAAATAAATAAGGAAAAAAAAAAACAAATATTTACAAGTTCCGTGTTTTATAATATATATATAAAAATGAGATTGATTGTTTTATAATATATATATATAAAAACTTGAGATTAAATTTATCAAATATTTTTATCTAAAAAAGTGATGCTTTTTATAAACAAATTAAAACTTATGTGTAAAAATGATGTAAGCATATATAATATATGAAAATATATAGTTAACAATTTATATTGTATATCGATAACTACATTAGGAATAAATATTTTTATGATAAAGATTTTTATTGTAAAAATTTGATATTAAAAAAAAAGATTCGGTTAAATTTAAGAATGCATCAACAATAGTTTATATTTTTATTAGGGATGTCAAGCTTGATTTTTAAAATGGAATTTTTATTTCGAAAAAGTTTGAAGAATTCAAAGCGATTACAAACTACTCCCTCGAGAGTTTTGAGAACGTTTAAGTCCGTCGCGACATTTTACGAATAAAAATTTTTTTTCGAATTAAAACGTTTTAAAAAGCGTGGAAAAATAGTTTAGCGCATTCCTAATTGGAATGTTTTCGAAGAACAAATAGTTTGCCAATTGAAAATCGTTGATAATTAGTATAAAAAAAATATAAACGGGCATTTAAGCAGTTGTGAAACAGTTGTGATGCAATTAGAGTATTGACCTCAAAATCAAGAAATGCGAGGTTTGGGGCTCTGTGACAAAACCGTTTTCTAGGATCATCTTCTTGGTCTTCTAGGATCACCTTAATAATCCTACCTTAATAATCCTGAAAGGAAAAAATATATTGGGCAAGATCAGGCCTGTCTTTACACATGTCCAGCCTAGAAAGCCGTTGCGGGACCAGGGCATTTAGAGAGGCCAGCAAGGAATCAAATTTTTTTCTAATAAATTTTATTAATAAAAATAAAAGTGCAATGGCGCTTTTTTTAACTATTTGAAACGATTTTTATTTACTAAAACAACCATAACTCCTACATAAATAGTTTTTTTCATTTTTTTTTTCGCCAAGATTACCCACCGATTGAATTAGAAAAAAGTTCTCCATTCACAATTATATTATACATTATACTTTTCGGGTTTAATGTATTTCGACGATAAAAAAAAGTTCACAAGATTAAGCAAATACAAATATATAAATTCATGGCTGGGGCAAGAAAAAGACAAATTCAGTCTTACCTAAGTCCCTTAAAATAAAAGTGTCGAAAAAAAAATATATATATATATATATATATATATGTATATATACATACACAAAAATATATATATATATATATATACACAAAAATAAATATATATATATTTATTTTTGTGTGTATCTATAATTGCATCAAAAACCTTGTGCATTTGTATTTATTCATTTGGATAATATTGTAATATTGCTTAAAATATGTTTCTTTCATTTTATTATTCAACTATTTATTTAATTATTTATTTTATTATGTTTCTTTCATTTTAATTCTTTCTTTTTTGTCTCAAATCTATTTGATACAAAGCAAAGAATTAAAATTTTTTTTTTTTATAAAAGTTAAATTTTTTTTTTTATCTATGTTGGCGAAAGAAAATTTGTTTGTTGCATTGTACACGCCTGGGATGAAACTATGAGACGGATCCAGAATAGACATACCCTGTCTCCCTAGATCCGTCACTGCTCTGTTGAACCCGTAAACGAAAACATGACGAATTGACGTCTATTGAGGTATCAGACTTTATTAGGAAAGGAACAATGGTTTCTGAGGTTATAATTTCAGGTCACCATGCACAGTGTTACGAAATGGTCATCAACCTTAACCTCATGTCCTGAGAAAACCCTTTGGAGGGATGATAGCCTACATATAGTAGATCACTTAGATATAAATTTGGAAATCGAACTATGACGTCCGAGAGAGATATTTTAGTTTTTATTTTCTTCAATTCTGGCATATCAAAATTTAAACGAGATGATAGGAATTTGGCATTTTTTCAGTATTTATAGAGCAAAAAGTTAATTTTCCCATATATTTCTATAAGACATACAAACAAAAACATATTTTACAATAAAATTGATCCTTTTTATTCTAAAATGAATGTTTGCTGTTGAAATCAATCACACAATTCAGAAGCTTTGATTCATATTCTGGATGGTTTCTTGCCCGTTTGTAACGCTGCCAATGGGAACTGAAGTCGTGATGAAGAGATTCTGTAGCTTGCTCTGAGAAAATGCCAAGACTAGAATTGTGTCTAAGGATAAAATCCTTCAGGTGGAAAAACACCGCATGTGCTTTGGAAGTGACTGAAGTGTTTGGCAACTTCAGTTACGACTCCTGAAACTGTAAAATTTTTTGTTCAAAATCGGGGCTCAAGTGATTTCCAAAGCAAGCATTCACCACTGAGTCAAAATGTCTCAATGTTTCAACAAATGGCACAGCAAGAAAAAATGAGCTTTGCTCAGCTAAACTTTGAAGGCGATCAGTGTTTTTCAAGAGCTTGCGGCAGTCATTCCCTGCAAATTGGCCACCATGAAAAGACTGCTTTTGAATATGAAGGGCTGCTGGCCATTCCTTTGCTGCGGGCCAAATCTGGCATAAACTTTTGTAGAGATGGTTAACGACTCCAAGAAGCAGATGAAGTTCCAAAATCAGTGTGTCATCTGGCAGAGTCATTATGGGTTCATGGATGACGTTTTTAAAGTCTTTTGCTCTCCTTGCATTGGCACCACTGCTTTGAAACTGCAGAAAGTTTTCTCGAATTGAACCAAGTGTTCTGAGACTTCCAGAGTGACTCAAATCTTTTGATTCTGCATCACACCATGAACAAGGATGTGCACTTGCATGGGACTGAAGACCACAAACAAGATTGGCGACTTTCATGTCACAAGAAATTTTGAAGGAAAGTTTGTGAAGTTGAAGAGAAGAAATTATGCTTTTCAAGTTGTCATAACTCTCTGGGAGATCTTCTGAAATTGCCACCAGAAGTTGCCGTTTGACTCCTGTGGCTTTAAGCTCTCTTTTTGGTGGTGGAGAATTTGAATCTGTGTTTCTGGCAATGATTCCAAGAGATACTTTCAAAAACCCACCACCTCCATCAATGCCAATCTTCATCAGCGGATCTCCTGAAACATTCCTTACTTTGATAACGTGATTTGCAAGACTTCCTACATCTGGGCAAAAAGGATGCTGGTCATCATTCTTTGTAGAATCTCGTAACGCCTTGGTCTCAAAATGCTCAGAAAAAGGTTTCCGAAACTGTCGAATTTTTCTCTGAAATTTTTTTCTACAATCCGGAGAGGTGTAGCTTGGTTCAAAGATGATGCCAATTTGGACATGCCACGATTTGACAATCTAGTTCCAATTTGGACTCCAACCATATCTTGTGCCGTGAGCTTGGGCACAGCAGGAAACAATTCTCTTGCACTTGATGGTCCTAAAGAACATTTAATGGCCGAGGTTAAAATTTTCTACATTTACATTTTAAAAGAAATTTATAAGTGATTTATGCTTAAATCTATATTGCTTTACCTGGAACAACGGGAAAACTATTTCCTCCAAGTTGACTTGGAGTTTTATTAGCAATTGTTAATGATGCTACCCTCTCTGCCGCAATGCGATCCTTCGAAGCAACTTCCACTAAATTTTGCCTTAATGTTCCTGTTGTGCAATTGTGAGGCAATCCACGACCAATCACAGAGAAGCAATCAGTGCACCTTTTTTCAATGCTTGAATTTTCTTTGGGTTTCGGTGGTTCCAAAGAATGACGCTGATTCATATTTGTTCTTGCAGTTTGACAAATCAAACAATTACAAGGAATATTTGTTGCAGCACGCTGAACTGAGATGGTGCTGAAATCAAAGAGCCTTGGGATAGGTGCATCCTCCCCTTCTTCTCGTCTGCGAATAGCCACACGACATCTTTCACAAATTCCACAAGGGATTTGAAAGTTTGAAAAATCAAGCTCAATTTTGAGGACTGTGCGAATTTTCTCCACTAAAAAACTTGTGATTTCTCAATTTGTCTTCTTTAAACATAGGAAACAAACACATTTTCGTTTTTTTTTTTATGAGTTTTAGCTTTGTTAGGCATTTTATCAAACTTTCAATGTGTCTTATTTGAAAAAAACTGAATGTGCACCCTTTTCCCGGAATTAGCAAAATTGAAAAACAAACAAAAAATAATAATGATTTCAAAAAACCTGCTCCAATTAGTTATATAATGTCTTAAATAGTACTCTAATCAACGTAACAACAAAAATGCTGTAAAAATGCCAAATTCCTATCATCTCATTTAAATTTTGATATGCCAGAATTGAAGAAAATAAAAACATAAAATATCTCTCTCAAAAAAAAAAAAAATACCTCTCTCGGACGTCATAGTTCGATTTCCAAATTTATATCTAAGTGATCTACTATATGTGGGCTATCATCCCACCAAAGGGTTTTCTCGGGACATGAGGTTAAGGTTGATGGCCATTTCGTGACACTGTGCATGAATAATTTGTAACTGAGATTGAAAGGTGAAGACAAGCTTATGCTTCTCTTGTTTTGGTTTCTTTGTCTGTCTTTTAGATATGGATTTTGTTGTGATCACAGCGTGCGCTAAAGAACTTTTTTAAATTTACCTAAACGATGCGGACATTTATATTCTGAATAAAAAACTGCATCACGAGAACTTTGTTCCCCATACAGTTGAAACTAATATTAGTGAATGTTTTTCTCTGCTGCTGTTACAAATTGTAACGGATTCTTTTTTAAACTTCAAAAAGGGTATTGAAAAAAAGGAAATTGCTACAATTCTAATAGTAGACAAAAAAAAAATGCTTTTCAGTGCTAGAATTTCAGCGCACTTGCCTCAGAAACGTAAGATCCGTGGTTCAAACCCCACCTCTGGGCAAGTTTTGCGACATCGGTTGAGAAGGAGGCGTGAACTTCTTATTAAATGCTCTTCCGCGATGCTCTGTGATAAGACCGTAAGGACTTCTTGGGGCACCTAAAAAAAAAAAATTAAATACTAAAAAAAACTATGATGATCTAAAGACGGGCCTGGGCAAGATGCCCTATACTTTGTAAAATAACTCGCAGTCCTTAATCTATGGCTCATGATCTTGTTAAGCATATGTACTATAAAAATTAACCAATTTTTCCTCAAATCGTCACTTTAAAAAGGCACATTCTTTAAAACCATAACTGCCACAACATTTCACAAATTATAGTTTATTAAGTAAGAAAAAACAAAGGGTAAAAATTTCTCAAAAAAACACAAATCTGCACCCTATATCACCAAAATTTTTGAAACTTGGCACAAATGTTTATAGACATATGTTAGGAAAGATTCTAATTTTTTTTCATAAAATTCCTTAGCGTTTATAATTTACAGCAATTTGAAGTTTCCTTGATTTTGACTAAAAACTGAGGGGGGAAAAGTGCCGAAAATTGTTCCGTTTACATTCACCTTAATATAGTGTTTGTAGTGATGCCACAATTCTGAAACTTTGTACCAAAAGAGTTTAAAACCTGTTAAATCCGAAAAATATAGCTTTTTATATGTCGAAACAATGTAGCTATTTTAAGACCCATAAAATACACTTTATAACGCCGAGAAAAAAGGGCATTGACAATTATAGCTATAAAAAAAATCTGACTGATATAAAAAAAAATTTAATTTCGATTTTCTTAAAAATAAGATCAACACCTACTTTTCGAACCAATTTTGTTTTGGCCTTATATTTACTTGAGGAATTATTGATGTTTGATATAGACACAAAATTTTTTAATATTTTTAAAATTAGACACTTAATATAACCCCACCTTTTACCAATCAATCAAATTGGAAACTAAAAATTTATTAAATTTATCATCTTTTTCATTTTCATATGATATTTACAACAAACTTTAAACGTATATAAATTATTTTCTTAAAAATGCTAAACTTTAGTAATTTTATATAAGCTTTACATTCACATTATTTACAAGTTGGTTCACAAACATAATATTTAAAAAAAGAATGGATAAGACATAATAGACTCATAAATATAAAAATCTCTACTTCCTTAGGAAAATAATTTTTTTAAAGTCCTCTTTGGCTAAATAATAGCAAAGTCCTGTTTTTGTTATCGGTACCTCAACTTTGCAAACAATGTGGACATCAGGAATACAGGATTAGCTTTCCTTTGGTGGCCATTTAAACGACCGTGCAGGACACATATATTTTACAAGCACATCTTTTTCTTCTAAATTAATATCTTCAATGACTCCTATCCACCACTTTTGCTCATAGGAAACACAGGCATAATCAGCTGGTACTAGGTTTACAATTGTTATCTAGATATTTCAAAAGTCATGAATTAAAGCAAATTCTTCATCAACACTGCATAGCTTAGTGCCTACCTAAACAAAATAGTAACATGCAATTATTCCGTTTTACTTATCAAACATGTTTTATTAAATGCATAGATAGCAAATGCAGAGGAAATAAAATACAAATATTTTTGATAATGATTCTGCAAAAATCTAATACCTATTTGAGTTTATCAATAAAAGTTATGCGTGTATTTTAAAATATGGTAAAAGGTGTAATTAAAAAATAATAATTTACCTTTTGATGGCCAAGTGGTACAAACTGATAGTAACTACGTGTTCCAGGTATTGTATTAGCAGTATCCAATCGTTCTTTAAGAGCGGTTCTCACCAAAGTTAAATCTTCTGATGAAATATATATGAAATTTATGCCTTCAATGTTTTTATTGCAATATTTATACATTGTTCGTGGAGATAAAATATGATTACCCATATCTCTTTGCAAACTTGCTAGTGTTGCCAGACGTTTGACACTACCGCCTATTTCATCACAAGGTTGCTTACCATGACTAGTTGCAAAAAAGTTCCATTTAGCAGTAAAACCAAAATCTTTACAATGGATACAAAGATTTAACATATTTTTGCAATTCTTATATTGACCTGCACACCCATCTGAAAAGTATTCAATATTTTTTATTTGAGGCAAATTTGTTTTTATATCATTGCAAACAACCTCAATAATTTTATAAACCATGTTCTGTTCTATTATTATGTTGGTGAATTGTACGTGTTAGAAATCACGTAGATGCGTGTTGAAAGTCACGCATCTACGTTAGTTATTTCAACTGTAATTAACAGTATATTCTCTCATGGAACTTTTTAATTTAATATATATAGAGAAAAGATTTTTGTATAGGAGGTTAGAGAGAATATATAAAGCTATAGATTATAAACGTTATTAAATTAAATGGACGCGACGATAAAACAAGCTATTTCGGCCATTATGCCACCGGTATTCGATGGCAACCATCAGCGGTTCGTCCGCCAACTACGAACATACATAACTGCGATGGACGTACCCGAATCCAAAAGAAAAACAATAATATTAACATGTTTGCCATCACAGATTTATTCCGCACTAGAAGATCTATGCTTGCCTGCATACCCTGAAGATGACTCAGTTACCTACGAAGACATCGAGGAAAACATCATGAAGCTTTTTAAACCGAAGTCATCGTTAATACTACGCTTTGAATTTGCAACTATAAAAAAAGCAAGTTACGAAAATGTGACGGAATTTTCACGACGGATTACAAGAGCTGCTGAAGGATGCAAATTCACGGATAGAGATGATCGAATGCGCGACCAATTCATCACGGGTTTTAACGATGGTGTTACAATCAAACGGTTAATACTGGAATCTGAAGAACTAACTTTTGAAAAGGCTGTGGAAATAGCTGTTACCCTTGAACGAGTAACCCAGGAAGCTCGACAATTAGATGGTTCCGAGAATGTAATGATTGGCGCAACATCGTTACTTTCACGGACGTCTGGTGCGTCCGACATAAACAAAGTTAAATGTTTCAATTGTGGAAAACTTGGACAATTTGCAAGGGACTGCGAAGAAAAATGCAAGACTTGTTCACTCGATCATCAAGCTAAAAACTGCTTTAAACGATTGCAAGGTTTAAAAGGAAAAGGGAGAATCTGGAAATAATGGCATCCAGTATTCTCCCAGAAATGACGTTGCCATCATTAAAAGTGAAAATAAAAAAGGCTCCGAACAGCATTAATTGATTCTGGATGCTCCATTACTGTGGTTCATGCTGAGTCCGCGCATGGGCTTGTGTTAAAAAGTCAAAAACTTATCACAACTTTGGGAGGAACTGTGCAAGTGCTAGGTGAAATGGTAATCAATCTGGAAATTGATGGAATACACCGGATGGTTAATTCTCTGGTTGTAAAAGAAAAACCATTTGGGTTTGATTTGATTTTTAGAATGAATGCAATTAAAAAATTTGGAGGAGTTATCATTTATGGTAATAAAAACTGTAACGTCCGAATGTTAGCATGTGACAAAGCGAAATGTGGTGCCGTTACTACGACGAGAAAAAACGAAAACGAAATAAACGAATTAAAAATTGATGTTATTAATACGACAAGAAAAAGCGAAAACGAAGTACAAAAAATAAAATGTGATGTCAAAAATACAACAAGAAATGAAGAGAACGAAAGAAACGAAATAAAACATCAGGACTTTACAGCAACGTTCGACGGAAAAAAATGGACGGCATCATGGAACTGGAATAAAGAGCCTGTAATTGATAATACCATTTGTGAATACAAGATGAACCAAGAGCACGAACGTAGTTACCGTAAAGAAATACGTGAATGGATTGACTCTGGTATTCTTGTACCATATAACGAACTAATATTGGGACCACCAAAAGTATTGATACCGCTTATGTGCGTAGTGCAAGAAAACAAGGACAAAAAGGTAAGTCCAGTGGGAGATTTCCGAGCTCTAAACGAATTTGTAAATTGTCATACGGCAAATGCGGACGTTTGTCATGAAAAACTGCGTTGCTGGAGAAAAATAAAAAATGCAAAAATTCTTGATCTTAAAAAAGCCTACCTCCAAATTCATATTGATAAAAAACTTTGGCCATATCAAACGGTGATTATAAATGGGCAACGGTATTGTTTTACCAGGATGTGTTTTGGCATCAATGTGGCTCAAACAATAATGACCACAATTCTTCGGCATGTGCTCAATTTAAATCCAACCGTAAAGAAAGCATGTGATAACTACATTGATGATATATTTGTGGATGAAAGTGTGGAAACTGCGAAAAATGTAGCGAAGCATCTGCTTAAATTCGGATTACAATGTAAACCTCCACAAGATCTTGAACAAGGACGTGTCTTAGGATTGAGAGTCGAAAGAAATAAAAATGGGGAACTGATATGGAAACGAGACAATGTGGTACAATTCGAATCTTTAAATGCAGTCACACGATCACAGCTTTTCAGCCAGTTAGGCAAACTTATTGGACATTACCCAGTGGCAGGAAGTTTGAGTTTACAAGCTTCATACATCAAACGTTTAACTGGAAATATACCTTGGTGTGATTTTATTTCTGAAGATTGTAAAGAAAAACTGAAAGAGTTGCTTTACCGTGTGGAAAAAGAGGATCCGGTTGGTGGAAAATGGCTGGTACCAGTTAATGGAAAAGCTGAGCTTTATTGTGATGCATCATCTATAGGACTTGGGGTAGTTCTGCTCATTGGTGGAGTAGTTGTTGAAGACGCAGCATGGCTACGGCTAGCGAGTGACACACACCATATCAATATAAGTGAACTGGATTCTATACTTCGAGGACTAAACTTAGCTAGTAAGTGGGGCATAAAAGAGTTAACAGTATACAGTGATAGCAAGAGCACCGTAGGATGGTTAAACGCAGTTTTGACGGAAGAATATCGCGTAAAAACTCGGGGAATTTCTCAATTGTTAGTACAAAGACGATTGAATACTATTAAGGAAGGGGCAAAAGATATTCAGATCGCAGTACAATGGATTCCATCTGAGATAAATTTGGCTGATCGACTCTCACGAATCCCTCAAAAATGGTGCAGAACAGTGTGTGCAGCTGGATTACTTGAACAAAAAAACATATGGAAAATTCATTCAATTGATCATTTTGGTGTTGCTTGAACATTACAACTTTGCTTGCGAAATAATCAGAATGTATCACGTAAGGAGGTTTCAGCAGTAATTGCGAATTGTAACCAGTGTAACTCCATTGATCCTTACTCCGTAAAGTGGAAGAATGGCCAACTAAGCGTAGAAAAAAATTGGAATCGGGTTGCCATTGACGTGACGCATGTAGGTGCTGAACTGTACTTATCAATGATTGACTGTGGTCCATCACGGTATACAATATGGCGTAAACTTGCAACTAAAGCAGCTGCTGAAGTTGTTGGTAGACTCGAAGAAATATTCTTTTTATTTGGCCCGCCAGTATGTCTTCTAATGGACAACGACTTTCAGTCCAACACGTTAACAAGTTTTGCTGAAGAATGGCATATTAATTTGGAATATCGAGCAGCACATCGAGCTCAAGGTAATGGTATAGTTGAACGTATACACAGAACGATAAAAAGAACGGTCGCTCGCTCACATTGTTCAATCGCTCTGGCAGTCTTGCTGTACAACGAGACAATATCATCCAATTGTACTGAAAGTCCATCCAAGCAATTCAAGAAAAGATCGACATTTTTCATCCCAGGCGTCGATACTCGGAGGAAGGTAGACGAGAAAGGTGTAAGCAAGAAATTCAAAGTGGGTGACAATGTTTGGGTAAAACCAACTCAAGAAACAAAATGTGACCAGCCGTGGATACCAGGCGTAGTACGAAAGCAAAATACTTTGTCGTTTGACGTGGAAACTGCGAATCGGGTACATCCGCGTCACATTTCACACCTGCGTCGCCGTACTGACGTACAGAGTTCAAATGAATCAGTCAACGATGTTTATTATAGACTAAACGATAAAAATGATAACGTTAAAGGAAGTTATAATGATGATGTCGCTCAAGTTCAAAATGATTCTCAAGAACTCAACGTGCTGCAAGTAACACGCTCCGGACGAACAATAAAGCCCCCACAAAGATTAGACTTATGAGTTAATTCACCAAGAGGGCATGTTCTATTATTATGTTGGTGAATTGTACGTGTTAGAAATCACGTAGATGCGTGTTGAAAGTCACGCATCTACGTAAGTTATTTCAACTGTAATTAACAGTATATTCTCATGGGACTTTTTAATTTAATATATATAGAGAAAAGATTTTTGTATAGGAGGTTAGAAAGAATATATAAAGCTATAAATTATAAACGTTATTAAATTAAATGGACGCGACGATAAAACATGTTCACATCATGGATCATATCATCCGAAATAATACAATAGGATTTGCGCTTGAGAATGCCTTCTTTTTTGAAATAAATAATTACTGGATGAAGCGTGCATTGTAAATTTGTCCAATGAAGAAATAATGCTGTTACCTCATTCATATCTTCCTTTCTTGATCTCAGGTATAATGCTTGACTCTTTGCTAAATACGAATGTGGTGCAAGTTTTTCCAGTTTTCTACATACTAGTTCAATGTATTCAAACACTGGCTCTTTATTATGTGTCAAGTTTGACCTATCTGTTGTTGTCCATTGATCAAATTCAATCTCATCATCATCTTCAAATTCTCCAAGTATATCATAAAGTTTTTCAACCAATGCATTCATAGTTGCTGGGCATTTTTCACATTTCCTCATCATATAGTCTTTATTAGTTATATCACAGACAATATAAGGTAACAATTCTTTGTATGTCACACCAAAAGGATGTAAAAGCAGTTTCAAATTCTGATGAATAGCACAGACGCATACAGAATGTGTTCCTGAGGCACCAACAGTAATTTAGGTTAGGTAACACCATTTAGGTCGCAAGGTGCAAAACCTTGAAAATCCTATTTTTATTTCTGGGATCTTGGTTTTAAAGGCAACAAACAATTCCTTTAAATTAAATAAGAGCAAACGTTTTTGCATGTGGACATTTTTCTTTATGCTTACATAGTCCTTTTTACCAGGCATTATACAGCTATGTTCATCGTCTTTGTAAAAGGTCTTGACCAGTTGAACTGTTACATCAGGAAGAGCTTTTCCTAATTTAGGATTAGGCATGGTTAAAATACCTTTTTTTAATGTTAACTTACGTGAAGTTCGAGCCACATAGTTTGTTACATTTTCAGATACCTTTTTTATTGACCAGTCTGTTGGAGCAAGTGTCGCAGAAAAGTTGATGTAATCCAAGAAATGGATTACATCAACTTTTCTGATTACCCTCATATCTTACAACTAACATATCATGATGGTGTGTGCATATATTAGTAATTTGTTCTTGTTTCAGATTTGTTTCTTTTTCAAGTAGCTTACGATCATTGCTGTCAATATCTTCAATCAGATTTCTTTCTTGAGTATATGATTGTTTATAACAAGCTTCATAATTATTTACAAAGCAGCAATTAATTTTGTTATCCATATAAAAATATAATGAGGAATCTCTGTCTAAACACTTAATACAAGAAATCTTAAATAATCTTAATGTCCCTAACAAGAAAAGTACACTTGAACACAAACAATATCTTATCAATAAGTTTTTTTTTTTTTTTCATTTTAATTCACCTCCTCAAGGCCGAGAAAGCCACTACAGACGAGGAGGCTACTTATTTGTGGTTATAACCTTCTCTCAACTCTATAACTCCGAAACACGAACCTTGACGAGCAAGGCCGCTGCGCGGAGAAACGAGTTGAGCGCGGTACTACCAGGAGCGTGGTGGGGATCGAACTCGGAACCACTCGTTTATGAAGCGAGCGCTCTACCACTAAACCACTACCGCATTTTTAAAGAACATATTGCTTGAACAAGTAGCTATTAGTTTAATAGACATATTTTAAATGCCTAACTATCTACTAATTACTGTAAATTCTCCATTAACTACTTACAAAAAGTTGTGTAAAAGTAAAAGATAACTAAATATAATTTTATTTAGTTATGTAACTTAACATGGTAATGTTAATTAGACATTATTATATCATTTTATTACTTTTTATATTGATGATAGTAAATGTTTTATTACAACAAAACAATCAACAACAAAAGTTACATAATATTGTTAAATTTAATGACATGATATTATGTAATGAAAATGACATTATTATTATGTAATGAAAGTAAAAAGAAACATATTTATAAAATGTTCAACTATGTTTTGTAATAACTGTAAATTTTAAGAGTTTTTATTTTTACTGTAAATTTTAAGAGTTCGAATTACACGAGTTCAATTTAAATGATCTTTAAATGAATTCTAAGAGTTCGAATTACACGAGTTCAATTTAAATGATCTTTAAATGAATTATAAGAGTTCGAATTACACGAGTTCAACTGTATATTTAAATAATGTCTGTGCGAATTACCCCTTACTAGTCTGTTCATAGTCATAATAAATTTATTACAACCAAAAAAAGTCATTAAAAAAATAGTTTAACTCATAATAAAAATAATGGCTTAGTTATACAAGTTTTTTTTTTTTATTTGTCATCGGATGTTACGCGATTAAGACGTGTTTTTATTAAATTGAAAAAAATGAAAATAGCAATAAAAAAACATAACAAAATAATCACAAATAAACTGGAAAAACATAAAAAAAGTATTATAAAAGAAACAGAAAAGAAACTTAAAAAACAGGAAAATTTATATTATAATATTTTGCTAGAATAATAAGTGGAAACCTTAAAATTATAACTGACAAACTGGACATGATGGAGAAAGACATTAATAAAAACAACGTAAAAATTAAAAGAACGTTAAAATTAAACAACGTAAAAATTAGTCTAAATTTTCAAGAAAATGCAACCTTAAAAAAAATAAAAAAATACTACTCCAAGAAATCAACATATTATATGTTGTAATGTTGAAGTAAGCGGATTATATATCAACGAAGACTTTATACAAGAAAAAATCGAACAACGATAGCAATTCCACGCCGCAAGGAAAAATATTTAATTTTTCACAAAAAACGGGTTAATTTCATGAAATTTACTCGCTTATATCTATGGTTAAACAAGCCTCTTGAGGTTTTTCGCATCAACTGGTTTTACTCAACCTCTTTCCAACCTTATCTAGAAAGTGCTATGTTTTATTCGGCTTCACTTATATATTATTAATATGAGACCACTTTTCTTTAAAAAACTTGCCGCAGGAACGTTTTTTTTTTCAACGAAGCTTTTGAAGGTAAGATTTCCTAAGTATCCAGACACATCCAATTTGGTTGAAACTTTCCAGGTATAGTAAAAAAGGAACGAGGAATCGAATGGAAAGGGGAACCTTTTTTTAAAAGTTATACATAAATTCTTAGCTCCCTTACGGAAATATTCCACGGAATTTATAGGGTATTCCGTAGAATGCCATGGAAAACCCATGGAGTTTTATGAAAAAGTCATGGTTTTTCAATGGAAATTGAAATTCCATGGAACTTCCATGGGGGAGTTTCCATGGAAATTGAAATCTCATGAAACTTCTATGGGTAAACGCTGGTTGTTTTTTTTTATAGCTCATGTTGCACCGTGGGTTTTACAAATGTGCGTTTGAAGATGCCTGCGTACCTCGAAGATTATTTCTAGATCTACAAATGATTGTAAAATTTACAAATGATTGCGCAATCTACACTAAGATTGTAAAATCATTCGTAAATTTAGTAAATAATATATTTTGCATTCTTCTATTTTTCAGTATTTAATAAGATTATGAAATATATGCTTTTAATATGATTGAAAATAAACATACAGACATAAACAACTAGACATACTTGCAATAGTTAGAATATGATAAATGTATGCATTTTATAATGCATCATAACATGATATTATCAGAGATGTTAGTCTTAAATCTTAAATCTTAAACCCATAACGTGTTGAGAATCGTATATAAATGTCTTAGTCTTAAAGCTTGGAGTATTGGATTTAGTCTTGGTCTTGGTATTGAATCATTATGTCTTGGTCTTGGCCTTGACTGTCTTTACGTGCATATATTTATCTTTTTCTAGCTATTGCCAATAGCTTTGCTTACTTTGCATAACTTGCAATAGTATAGCAAGTATG